CTTTAAAAATTAAAACTCACTTCTTAGTGCAAGGATCTTACCTAAGGATGCTTGGGATTGAAATTCCACTAAAAATAGCCCAAAATCTATGAATTTCCCTTGAAAAAGAATTGAAGAAATTGAGAGAATTTGGGGATGAAGGTGGTGTGAAAGTGGAGGAAGAATGGCTAGGGTTTCATTCTTCAACTCTTAATATAACAAAATATTATTTATAGTTTCCCATTTTACCCTTGCACTTTCTATGAAATTCCATCTATGTCCCTTAGTCAATTACTATAATGCCCTCATTTTTATTGCATTCTCTATGAAATTCTATCTCTTTTCACTCCCCACATTTTCAGCTACTTATGAGTGAAAAGACCATTTTACCCCTAATGACAATTTAAGGGATTTTCTTCACACTTTTTGAAAATAACTTTAACAAACTTCAACTAAGGGTATAAGGGCATAAGTAAAGCTACATACCTTTATGTGGGCGTTACATAATCCAATTAACTAAAACTTAGGTATCCAATTTCACCATAATTATCCAAACTTATGTCAATCATCAACCTATTGTATCTCAATTCATTCTCTAGGGTTCGCACTCACTTAATCAAGGTATTACCATAAGGCGTTCAGGATTTACCTAGTACCTTTAACTCAAGACTAGCTAGAGCGTATAGTCTAGCCTAATGATTAAAAACCCATAAAACACAAGAGCACTCGAAATCATGAATAAATGTGCATCGGTCAGGGCGTATGCACAAATACTAATCATTCAAGAAATCATGAACCAATTCACATTCTATCAAGGTGTATGCACAAAGTACTAATCATTCATTCACATGAGCTAATTAAGATTAACACCTAATGTCTAATCTTAACACATACTACCTATTAATCCACATTAAAGGTAATCAAGCAATAATATCAATTAAAGACTGAATTAAGCACAATGAATGAATCAAGAATAACATTGAATTGATAAACACATAGAATTGATAATGGCATAAAGCCTTCAAATTAGGTTACATTGGATGCCTAGTAAAGAGTTTAGTTACACATAATAATTGGGAAATCAAACCTCAAACCCTTCAAAAACATGAAGTACAAGAGAAAAAGATGAAGCCTAGGTAGATCTCTTCTCCTTGCCTTCAATTCTCTCAAAGTTGAAAGTAAAAGTCCTCCCTAAAAATACCTAAAGACATACTTTTATAATGCTAGGATTGTGGGAAAGTAAGGGGAAAAATCCTAGACAAAATAGGAGAATAAAATTCAATTCTTAGCGAAATAGAATAAGAGAATCCTAATGAAATTAGGATTCCTTCAAACGAGCTACGCAAAGGTCTCCAAAATAGAACACAATAGCTTCTGAATCTAGAAATTTTTTTAACATAATAATTGTAGGTATTAAAATAATATTTCCAATGCTTCAAAACTCATCTAAATCTGAGGTCTATAGCTCAAGTTATTGTAGAAACACTGAAGCATACTTTTGAACATTTTTGAACATATTAATTGTAGGTATTAAAATAATATTTCCAATGCTTCAAAACTCATCTAAATCCAAGGTCTATAGCTCAAGTTATTGTAAAAGCACTAAAGCATGTTCTAGAACCCGCATCTGCTTGTCTGACATAACATTTGGATCAATTTTTAATAATCTTTCAAGTCAAACTGGAACACAATAAAAATAAATGTTGTAGCCCCGTCTCTTAGCTTTAGAACGCCACCATAATCAGGTCAATCAGAGTTATATAGCTCAAGTTATACTCATTTTAGTGCAGCACGTTCTGGCAAAAAAAACCCCTAAGCATAAAATTCACGAAGTGCGCCCCAACGTGATTTAGTGGCACTGTAGCATGAAGTTTCTATCCATTTTGCAACTTTTATATGCTGCAGCATGGGAATAGTTCTATTGCGGTGCATAAATAGATCTGCCACAGCGAACAATATCAAAAAATGCATAACTTCTTCGTTTGAGCTCCGATTCTTGAACTATTTGTTCCTACACACTTATGGTTCTTTCCTCTTCAATGTCCATGCTTGAAATCCTCATTTTTCTGTAACGCCCCACTTGAGGTACGTACTTAAGATTTGCTGTATGGCTTAAATGTTTATTGATTCAGCTTTAATTGAGTTTGTGTGTTGAGTTGGTTGAGTGTGTGCCTTGAAATTGGTTGAGATTTGAGGAATTTTAGCATTTCAGTCTTCGCCGGGGTGAAAAGTAGTCTTTGCCGGGGCGAAAAGTAGTCTTTGCCGAGGCGACGTTGGCTTCGAGTAAGGTGGTGTCGACTCTGTAATTCTTCACTAAGGCGACAAAAGTTTCTTCGCCACGGCGAAGGGCCAGTTGAAAAGTTTAATGAGATTTCTAGATATTTCTCCATAAGGGTAAAATGACCATTCTACCCCTAATTAGCAGGAAAAGTGGGGTGTAAAATGTAAGGAAATTACATGGAGAATAGGTTAGTATGGGGGTGTGAGTGTTATGAATCAAAGGATATAGATGAAATTTTCAAGGAAGAGCAAGGGCAAAGTTGGAAAGTGATGATTTTTTATTAGCTAAAAAGGGAAAAAAAGGCAAAAACAAGATAACATTAATTGATAAAGAGTTACCAAAATTCAAAAGAGTTAGGAAAAATTACTCCTCTAGAAGAAAATTAGAAATATCACGAAATTCACTACCCAATTTCGCAACTAAATTAACCTTAAAAAAAGGGTAAAAAGAAAAAGAAAATAACTTCAGCAGAATTCTCCTACACTAGCGTCCACTAGATCAAATCAGCTGCCTGAAATCGGGCCCAACATGTTGGTGGATCAAGTAATCATCACCGTTTGAGATATCAAACATCATATTCTGATGATGATGATGCATAAACTGCTGCTGTTGCTGCTGTTGGGCCCTTTGCATTTCTTTTTGACGCCTAAGCTCCAGCACCTTACGGTGCGAATTTGAGTGCTTTGTTAGCACAAACGTCGGGCTTGCAGCCGGCCGGTACTCGGGCACTAATCTCCCCGACTTGTACCTCACTCCACAAGCATTACAGAGCGTCTTCGGACCCATAGGCCCCGTCCGCCACTGCGGTGTCTTATCGGTCGCACAATGCAGGCACTTCCGACCTTCTCCGCTACCATCGCCACCATCTCCGCACTCTTTTTTCTTCGACCCACTTGCTTTAACTGTTTTCTTAGCGGTTTGTTGTGGTGGGGGTGGTGGTGGACCCGTGGAAATGATGTCGGTGTCCGAGGACGAAGTGTTCTGGCTTAGGACAAGAAGACGAGACGCCCAGTTGCATGGGGCCGCCCGAGACCGCTTGCTACGGGCCTTGGCTGGGACCGCCATTTCTGGATTGAAAATGGGGTTGCTGGGACTAGAGATAATATTGTTATTATTGTTGCTGCTTCGGTCGGGTTCGGGTTGGAATTGGCGGGTTTCGGATGATTCGTCGGGGCGGGCTTTCAAGCCCGATATCAATTGGAGCTTTTGCAGGTCCTCACAGGAGAATGATTCCTCCGCGAAATTCGACAACCATTCGAGCTCAGCTAAATCGTCTAACTGTTAAATGAAACAGAAAAGAAAAAAAAAAATATTATTATTATTATAATTATATTATATAAAAAATTTGAATTGGTTAAAGTACGAATTTTACTTTGATAAAGAAGCAGTGGTTATTGAACATATTGCTTTATGCAAATTGCCATATGCAGTTGTTGACCATTATAATTAAATTTTTGAAAACAGAAAAAAACAAATAAATTCACCCAAAAGTGAATAATGTAATTTCCCTGGAAAATTAAACATTAACATTGATGAATTATTGCATGTATGGAATTACCGGCGGGACGCAGAGGTCGCTAGAGAAGTGAGCATCAGCGTAATTCCGGCAAGCAATATCAGCGGAAAAGCTGGGGTCACAGGAAGAGGAGTTGCAGCTATCAACGACAGTGACAGTGGAAGAATCGGTAGAATTTCCAGTGACGTTATCAAAAGTAGCAGCGTCAGTAACAACGGCGTCTTCGTTGGAGAAGTCCAAAAGTTCCTCAACAATGAAATGGTCACCAGCGGTGGTTTTAGAATCAAAAGAATGGTGTTTTTCAGGTGCAAATTGTGAGCAATAGTTTCCCTGAAAGAATTCTGGTGCTTCCATAATTTAGTTTCCTTGTTTATTTCAGGAGTTGACGTTAAGGCAATAGAGAGTATAGTTAGAAGAATGTGAGGAGAGAAGTGTGAGCAGTTGTTGTGGTTTTGTGATGAGAGAGAGAGGGTTTATTTGCGATTGAAGGGGACAGGCGGACAGCTAAAATGGAGGATTTTGACGAGGACAAAAAATTTAAAGTTTTAAGACGAACAATTAAAGGTTATTAATTATTTATTTTACCAGACAAATAAAGAAGCTTTAATTGATTTAAAGGAAAATCGTGCTCGAAGTTACTTTAGTGCCCTTTTTCTTTTGGAGGCTTTTCATGTTCGGTATACCATTTCTATCTTTTTAGAATCATTTTTAGATTTCCAAAGATTAATTAATTAATTAATTAACTATTTAAAATTGTCTCTTATTTCTTGTTTATCCCTTGTGAATCGATCAAAACAGTTGAAATCTTCAAATCAATTTTTCACGCATTGTAATAACAAGGGAATTAACTGCAAGTGGTGGTGGTGATGCAATTATCACTGCACGTGTCCACACACGATTATTATGCGTTGCTTATCATATCAGCTACTCACGTGGGTATTACGGTAAATTCATGATGTCTGACTTAAATAACTAATGTAGCAGCAGTAGCACATTTTTTAAATGGATAACTGGGTAAACAGGTAATTAACAAATTAATTAATTATGGATACAGGGTAATTAAGTGTTCAAATTCAACTCCTTAGGAACCGATCTAGCAGGTTTGCCGCTGAGGCTTGTGCATTAGCGTCCAAGTTTACAGCCCGATTCCTCTGCTTTAATTTCCCTCGGGGATAGCGCTATATATATTTTTTTATTTTTCTCTGAAATTCACTCATTTTTTAAAACTTGTTTATAATATTTTCCACCTCTGTTAATTGGTTTATTAAATTCAATCCCCACTAGTAAGCACGACGTTTACAGCTCAACTTGATGGAAATCAACGGCTAAGATCTTCCCAACATGTCCTCCGCTACAGATGACCTGCCAGTTTGGTTTTCACTTTTTACCTCACCTTGCCATGTAGGATTTACAAGCGGTTCCACCGTTGTTACGTTGCACTTTTTAGTCTCCTATACTACATGGTGTACTGGTGTAGTGTAGTAAACATGCAAGATCAGAACTGTCTACGTGATTGGACCTACTGTAAATGTCAGATATCATATTACGTGTCAAACATCGAGTAGTGAAGTTTGGTTAAAGTGGGGTCTGAATTTGACTGTGCCAATCCCTATGCGAGTCCTCTTCGAGTAATGGATAAGGTGTAACTGTTGTTATTTATTGCTGTGATATCTCTCTTCTTTAGTAGATAATTTTATTATTTTATTATTTTTTTACCTTTTTTTTATTTTTATTTTTATTTTTTGCTTGAATTAAAAGGAAAGGCTGAAAAAGAGTGAGTACCTGGGCCGTTGCTTGGCGTGGAGGTTTTCATTTATCTAGAGATTTTTTTCATTTTTAATTAGTTAAAATTTTTGTTATTTAACTGATTTTTGCATGTGTGGGGTCCAACTTGCACGTGATAGAGCTGGAGGGTGGTGTCAGCAAGCCATGTGAGTGCTTGGCTCGTGTCAAAAGCCAAAAGGCTTGACGGTGCCAATGCCACGTGGCGAGAATCAATAGTGGCTTGCCTTTTCTAGGATGCTTCAATTAAGGTTGAGTTGAGGTGAGCGTAGTAGTAATGTGATGAGAGTGTATCGGTCATTTTATAGTCTACGATAACGTGAGAGCACGTGCCGGCCGGTCACGTGAGTAGTGGGGAACGCAGGTGTATTACGTCTCCCTTGTGACAAGTCACGTGGGACGGACGTTCTGCTTTTGCTTTCGGAGTAGTTGCTTGTCACTAGGCCATTTAATACCTATTTTGAATAACGAAACTCCCTCACCCCCCACCCATCACATAATTTTTGCCCATTGAACATGAATTTCTACTCCCCTTCATCTTTGGACTTGAGAATAATAACTATAATAACAAATAAAATATACATAAATCTAAATCTAATATTTTAATTTTATGATATGGATTAAGAATGAAGGTATCTCTTCAATTTGCATAGCATAATGAAACGTAACGTAAAATTCCCTGAAGGTGGTGGACCAAAAGTAAATGTGGTCAAACAAGAGGGTAAAGACCAGGTGCAGCCAGACAGGCTTCAATTAGAAGCCCAATTGCTTTTCCTTTTAATCTTTTGCCTTACTAAGATTGAATGAAGCTAAGGAAGGAACATGTCACTCTTATGCCAACCCAGCAACTCTTCTCTTCTTCTTTGTGGTTAAGTAATTGCCCTCCTTTGCCAGTCTTGTAAATGGATGCTAGAAAAGCAGCAGTTTACGTACTTTGGTAAAAAATTTTATAAGGGGAATTTATTCTTTGAAGTATCAGTTAACTTGTATTGTAATACTGATATGGTATAGTACTATGGTTAGCAGTTTTTCTTAACATTCTTTTGTGGCTTTTTCATCTGTTTGACAATTCAAGATGCCAATAATTGGAAACAACGCCACAAGAGCATAGCCCATATTGGATAGCCTCAAGGCGTCGCAACTTAGGGTTAGACCTTCTTTGGGGCTTTTTTTTTTTAGCCCCAAAATCAATTAAAAATAAATCTATTTTATTTTATTCCAAAATTACCCTTATCTTAAACTACTTTGATTTCTTAAAAACTCATGATTTAAAAACAGTTATGGAAAATTCATAAAAACAAATCAAAACAAGATTGGAAATAATATTTTCTGTCATGATTTTGCACAGGGAATATTTTTTCCGCCTTCTGTTTTGTTTTTTTTTTTATGGGTTTTCATAACTTTTTCTAAATCACAAGTATATTGAAGTAAAAATTTATTCACTTTCAAAAAATAAACAAATAGAAAAAGGAAAAAATTAAATAAATGAGAAATGTAAAGGATTAAGAAAGAAGATAAATTAAAAATATTAGGAAAGCAGAGAAGTTTAAACAAGAGAGAGAAAGAGAGGTTAGGAAAAGTTTAATTTTTGGAATAAAATAAAAATATATTTAAATTTAATTGATTTGGGGGCTTAAGGAGGTGTTTGTCTGAGCTTATGAAAATTAGCTTATAAGCAGTTAGTACTTAAAACTAATTTGACCTTATAAGCATTTGAAATTTATAAGTGATTAATAAATAATTGACACATTTGGTAAAATATGACTTATAAGTATATTTTATTATTAAAATGACCAAAAATGTATTATAATAACATGATTTCTTTGAAATATAAAAGTATATTATGAAATTTTAGAATCAAATAAGGATAATGTGGTAATATACAATAAAGAAGAAGCACATAATAGGAAAAAAGAAATCAGAGAAAAAGAAGAGAGAAAATTGTCGTGTTTTTACTCTTTTTTTTTTTTTTTTTTTTTTTTATTAAAAGTAAAGTAGTTACAATTGCTTTTATATAAGATAAGCTGAGCTAACAGTGAGTACAACATTTAATAACTATCCTAGTCAACTGGTCAACAAGTTAACTGAATTTTCTTTTATATCCTAACATTCGTAAACCAAACCTCCTTTATTCTGCCATTCACTGGTCAATATTGGTTTATATCCTAACATCCTGCCGTAAACCAAACAACCAAACTGCCAGCAGAGAAACTTCAAGAAAAGTTCAGCAGAGAAGCTTAAGGAGGACAACAAATATTTTGCCTCAAATTTGGTTGTTCCTCTAGAGTGCATCTACTAGATTACTCAAGATAGCAGCAGAGATTTTAGCTTAGTAATCAGTTTAGCTCAGCAAAGAAGCTTTAAGAAAAACAGCAGACATTTTAGCTCAGGAGAAGTAATATTATTCCTCCAAATGTTTATCCACTACTCTGCTCATAAATAATCATCAGAGAATACCCTGTATATAAGCAACAAACACTCTACATATAAGTTGCAAAAGTTCTCTCAAACATCCAGTATATGCTCTGCATAATAGTAGTAAAAAAAAAATCCTCAACCTTTCAAACTGCTATCAGACAACTTTTAGTGAAGCAATTACACAAACGTCAACTAACCAAAACTTCAGAAAGTCAGTCACATTAGTAACACAAACTAAACCAGCACACACTTTGGATTTCACAAATTAGTGCAATATTATCAGTATATAACCATCACACAGACATTTATGCCTTAGACTTAGAAGTAAAAGCACAACTAGCAGGTGTCTGAACTCTAAGTTTGTCTCTTAAGTTTTCAAACTTGGATGCTGAAAGTGCCTTAATGAAAATGTCAGCTCTTTGAAGTTTAGTGGGGACATATTGAACTTTCAGTTTATGGGTTGTAACTTGTTCCCTTACATAATGAGCATCAAGCTCAATATGCTTAGTCTTGCCATGGAAGATAGGATTTGAAGCAAAGGAACCTGCACTTTGATTATCACACCATATTATGGGAACTTCGAGTAAAGACACTCTAATTTCAGTAAACAAGCTGCAAAACCAGGCCAACTCAGTAGAACCTTGAGCAAGAGCCCTATATTCTTGCCTCGGTTGAAGATAGAGCCACAACCTTTTGTTTTCGGGAATGCTATTGTATTAAATTGGAACCAAAGTACACACAACAACTACTAGTTGATCTTCTATCCTGAAGATTACTAGCCCAATCTGCATTAGTGTAACATTCCAGATTAAGTCTATTACTTTTACTAAATTGCACACCAAAGTTGATAGTGTCTTTAATGTATCTTAATAACCTCTTGCAACCCTGCCAATGTAACTGAGTAGGGACCTTTAAAAATTGACTCAACTTATTAACCGAATAAGAAATATCAGGCCTGGACAGTGTTAAGTACTGCAGGGCACCAATAGTACTCCGATAAAGAGCTAGGTTGTCATAGGCTTCACTATCTTCAAGAGCCAACTTTGTACCCACAGCCATTGGAGTAACACACGGGTTGCAGTCCATCATGTGTGTTTTAACTAACAAATCCTTTGCATACCTCTCTTGGTTCATACGAAGGCCTGATGTAGTTCTTGTCACCTCAAAACTAAGGAAATATTTGAGAGAACCCAAGGTCTTTAGTGCAAATTGAGTATTGAGTTTCTTGACAGTTTCTTGAACCAATTCATCATCATTCACTGTCAAGAGTATGTCATCTACATACAC